ATAAAAGTCGGAAAAATCATACCTGACAAATTACACCTGAAAAATAAAAACATTCAATAAAAATCTAAAAAAGGTTTATTTTGTTTTAGGAAACTATTCTGCATTTTTCATTATTATAATATACCATTGTTTGATAACCTAAAACAGTGCTCGGAATTACTTTAGCTTTTTAGCCGATTCTAACGGTACACGCCTTCTTTCCTCTCCTTACCGCGCGCACCTCAACCTCTTGGTCAGCGTCGCCGAGCGTTAGGAACGGCGCTATCCCATTAATGTTGGCTTCTTCTCCCTTGATCATTAAAAATTAAAAAAATTTATTAAAAACATTTTTTTTAGTTTTAAATTTATTATGTCGAAATATTTCAATAGCTTTCCACGTTATCCATAAGGTACTATTGCTATTAAGAAAAAAAATATTTTTAATAAATATTTTTAACTTTTAATGATTAAGGGAGAAGAATCCAACATTAATCGGATAGCGCCGCTCCTAACGCTCGGCGGCGCTGGCCCAAACGGCTGCGGCGCGCGCAATAAAGAAAGGAAAGGTTGCGTGTGCCGTGAGAATCGGCTGAAAAGCTGAAGAAATTCCGAACACTGGTCTAGACTTTGTTACCTAGAATGATGCCCATAATTTACGTAAATGAGTGAATACTAAATAACAAAAGTGCACGGGGTCAATAATGGCATTTCCATCTTCCGTTTTTTTCTCTTCTGTCTTCGCTTTCTGTCGCTGCATACCTGAACATTTTTGTACTTTTCCGTCCACACAGTTTTAAGAGAAGACAAACTGCGATGCACTGTTATGTGCGTTTACTAAAAGATTCTATTGCATCTTTTAGTGGAAACGCACAACAGTGTATTGCAGTTCGTGGCGAGCACTTTGAACATATTAATTAATAAAGCAACTTTCTAAGTTCTTTTGTAACTTTTATTTTGTGTTTTTATTCAAATATATTTTTGTGGTGCACAGTCATTCCAAAGTTATGATTTAAGTCATTGATTCACTCGTTTTCACGCCGGCTATCACATTATGACAGAGCTCGGAATTAGTTGTACATTTCGGGCCGATTCCCGAGACGACGTCTACTGTTCCCCCACTACCGCCCGGCCGCTGGCGACAGGGCTGCCGATAGCTCTGGCTCAGGAGCGTTTTATATTAGAAATAGGCTGGATTGTTTAGACATCTCTCAAGAAATCGTAATATTTTCTTCATTACATAAATAATGTTTATTTTCATTAATACATAATATATATATATTTAATTATTAATGAAAATAAACATTATTTATGTAGCAAAGAAAATATTACTATTTTCTGAGAGGTGCATCAACAACCCAGCCTATTTCTTATATAAAAACGCTCCTGCGCCAGAGCTATCGGCGGCTCGGCCGCCAGCGGCTGAGCGGTGGGGGAACAGGAGACGTTGTCTCTTGAATCGGCCCGAAATGTGCAACTAATTCCGAGCGCTGGCATATATTATTGAAATGCTTTTGTGAAACGGAATCAATGACTAATAAATATTCGTGGTTATAAACAATTCGACAATGCTATCAGAATGACTTGACTACCGCAAACTTAATTCGAATCTTAATGCAGATTACTTGCATAAATAGTAGGAAGAGGCGAAATAAGTGACAGTATCGTTCGAGTTTTTCATGTGACAAGTAATTATAGTCTTAGCACTCAGTTAAAAAAATAGTTAAAAATATTTATCGCAAAACTAAATATACTTCTACACAATGGGATGGCAAGATATTTATAATTATTACATACTAGAATTATCAAGTAAGTATGAACAATTAATTATTTTACAATAATTAATTAAACAGATTATAGACAGAACAGATTTATTTTTATTGTAAAATAATAATTAATCCATCTGAAACTCTAATCTAAAACTAAAATTCTCCCTATCTAAATAACATCTAATTAATCTTTAATACAATTTTTATTTAAATTTTTATAAGTATTAAAAATATAAATAGTTTATAAGTATTAAATTTTACATTTAAAAAATTAATCGTTACAAACAAGCTGCAGAGCTAGTTAGGCATGCTCAGTTTATTACTTTATACCACATTAACAATACAATAGACGTTTTGACCATTCGAGTGTGGTCATCATTATTAAAACAATTATTAAAAAAAAAAAAAAAAAAAAGAAATTATCTTCTACATCATATTACAATAAATTAGTTCTATAAAACGTTTCTTTTAAAAACATTTAAACGTTAGTTGAAACCATATCTTCAAAGTCATACTCAATACCAACACAGTAAACCTCCAGGTTATTGAGCAAAAGAGTTCTTATTTTACAATTATTAAAAAATTTGATGCGGTTTTCGAGGATGGCGCCATTATTAATTGATTACCATTAATCTAAAATTAGATTACCATTAATCTAAAATCTAAAATAGCAGGACTAAACGACCGTCAACCTTGACAAAAATACCCATTTTATTGTAATTAATTTATTAAAAATTATTCTTACCTCAATGCAAAACGGTAAAACTATCATATTGTGTCACCTCAATTTAAAAAAATTAAGAAAAAATTATGTATAGTCCACTTTTTAAAAAACATGTTATAACTCAGTCTGCCTTAAGAGCTATTGAAAAGTCCATTCCATCTGAGAAAACGTGGCAAACTAGTTGAAGGTATTACTAAATTGAGATGTGAAGGAGAAACGTAGTGAAAGAATAATATTTAGGCAGGAAACAGATTGAGAACTGGCAAATACATGTTTGGCAATAACTCAGTGTCACTCTGCTTATTAAGACCACTTTTTTGTCGTTTTATGTGTAACATTTCGGAAATTAGTCTTTTACTATATGACATTTCCTTATCTAATATCTCCATATTCTCCCAATCCATTTCATGGTCGTGTTCTAGCCTGTGGCAGGATATAACTGACGGGGACCCTGTTCTTTTTCTTATATCAGATTTATGTTCTTTTATTCTAGTTTTTAATTTTCGTTTAGTTTGTCCCACATAACTATACACATATCCAGACAAGTTTAATTATCAGTCGAACTTAGAGGAAAAGCAGGAAAAATGGTTTATAAATTTGTCAGATGTTTTCATTCCCAAAGAGGTCGAATTACTAATGCAATTGGGAGAACGGTTCAATATGCCTATAACTGATAAAAGGCTAACATCAATTGAATTTATAAAAAACATAGAAAGAAATATAGAAAAAAAGAGTGTGGATTATAAATGTTCTGTAAGAAATGATACCATCTCAGTTATCAATGGTTTTTGCAAGGGAAATTCCTACAACAGTGTGAATGACAGAAAGTTACTCAATTGGTTTAAACAAACAAAAAAATTTATCAAAGGAAATCCTGATGTGTTATTTACGAGAGCTGATAAAGGCAACAGTACTGTTGCTCTTAGTAAAATAGAATACACGAAAAAAATGGTGGACATACTTTCCGACATTAACACATATCAAATTGTTAAAAAAGACCCAACTAGAATTTTAACTGATAATTTGAGGTCTCTGCTTTCCAGATGGAAGGAGAAAGGTTACATAGATGATAAGAAATACAAATGTTTAATGAAGACAGATGGAATCATACCTAGAGCCTATGGTTTGCCAAAAATACATAAAGATGGATATCCTCTTAGAGTCATAGTCTCGTCTATTAACAGCCCTTTATATAAGATTGCCAATTTTTTACACAAAATAATTACAAACAATATTCCTAATTCTAATAGAAACATTAAAAATAGTTATGATCTTGTTACGAAATTGAATGGTTTCAAACTGGAACCGGATTACTGTCTAGCTTCTTTAGATGTGGTTTCTCTTTTCACGATTATTCCTATTGAAAGGGCAATAGAGAGCATAAAAAACAGATGGGAATGGATTAGAAAGAACAATTCCATACCATTTGAAGAATTTTTAATTAGAATTAATATGGTTTTAAATTCGACTTATTTTTGTTTTAACAATGTTATTTACAAGCAGATTTTTGGCACTCCTATGGGTTCTCCTCTCTCCCCCATAATAGCTGATATAGTCTTACAAGATCTGGAAAATTTGGCAATCGAACGTCTTTTAATTTACCTATTTATTTTAGATATGTTGACGACATATTATTTGCAGCTCCCAAAAATCGCTTAGAAAATGTTTTGGTGATATTCAACTCAATGCATAATAGGTTACAGTTTACATTAGAAATAGGAATTGACAATTTTATTAATTTTTTAAACGTGAAGTTAATTTTAGAAAATAACTTTATTAAATTTGATTTGTTCCACAAACCTACATTTTCGGGAAGATATCTAAGTTTTTATTTACATCCAATCACACACAAAAAGTGTTATAATCGATTTATTTGACAGAATTCTAAATTTAACACATCCACAATTTTGGAGTAGGAACATCGATGAAACGATTTTCCTACTATTGACGAATGGCTATCCGATGGATTTGATTTTTAATATTATTATTGAAAGAATAAAAAAGTATAACAACAAGTTTTTACAAAGCAAGGATGATAATTATAAAACAAAAAAAACTGGTTATTTCATGATACCTTATATTAAAGGAACTTCTGATAAACTTACAAGCAAGATAAAAAAATACAATCTTAATTTAGCTTTTTCATGCAGTAATAAACTCAATAGAATCATAAAAACAGGAAAAGATATCATAGACTCTATGAACCAATGTGATGTGGTTTATAAAGTAACTTGTCATGATTGTGATGCTAGTTATATGGGACAAACTAAACGAAAATTAAAAACTAAAATAAAAGAACATAAATCTGATATAAGAAAAAGAACAGAGTCCCCGTCAGTTATATCCTGCCACAGGCTAGAACACGACCATGAAGTGGATTGGGAGAATATTGAGATATTAGATAAGGAAATGTCATATAGTAAAAGACTAATTTCCGAAATGTTACACATAAAACGACAAAAAAGTGGTCTTAATAAGCAGAGTGACACTGAGTTATTGCCAAACATGTATTTGCCAGTTCTCAATCTGTTTCCTGCCTAAATATTATTCTCCCACTACGTTTCTCCTTCACATCTCAATTTAGTAATACCTTTAACTAGTTTACCACGTCCTCTCAGATGGAATGGACTTTTAAATAGCTGTTAAGGCAGACTGACTTATAACATGTTTTTTAAAAAGTGGACTATACATAATTTTTTCTTAATTTTTCTTAATTTTTTTAAATTGAGGTGACACAATATGATAGTTTTACCGTTTTGCATTGAGGTAAGAATAATTTTTAATAAATTAATTACAATAAGATGGGTATTTTTGTCAAGGTTGACGGTCGTTTAGTCCTGCTATATTTTAGATTAATGGTAATCAATTAATAATGGCGCAATCCTTGAGAACCGCATTAAATTTTTCAATAATTGTAAAATAAGGAGAACTCTTTTGCTCAATGACCTGGAGGTTTACTGTGTTGGTATTGAGTATGACTTTGAAGATATGGTTTCAACTAACGTTTAAATGTTTAAAAAACGTTTATAGGACTAATTTATTGTAATATGATGT